AAGTTTTATCTACATATTTCATAATATTAGATAGGTGCTGTTTATAAAATACCTATATTACTGTGATTTCGCCATTCTGTGACGAGACAAAGCGCGGCAAACGCAAGTGGAGGCAAGGCGCGGGCTGCGTCGTCGCATGCTGGTAGCGGAGTGGCGCGGAGAGGGGTCGTTAGCTCCGCTCAAATGCACAAGGCCATTAGCGTGAATACAAGCCTTAATGAAGAAAGTCACGAAAAAATAGTAAAAGAAAATGAGTGAGTACTCTATATACATACCTAAATTTTATCATTATCACAAATGCAGTACTAATTTTGAATTGAAAATATAATACTGCTATAAAGATAACCTAAATTTTTGATATTAAAATGAGCGATATTAAAAGTAGCCCTCTTTATATACACACAAACACACACACGCGTATAGTTTAAATTCTCAATTTAGATTCTCAATATGTATATATATACTCGATTAACCGGACTAATTGTTGCCGTTAGGGATTCGGATAATCGAAAATCCGGATGATCGAACGTATGAAGAAAAAGCGGGTTTTGTGCATTTGTAGTACATATGTACATACATAATGTTATGTGTTTATTAAAAACAACAATTTCAACGAAAATCAATGTTTATTAAGAAATTATTATTTTTTAATAAACATTGATTAAATTCCATGAAGAGATATAAATCTATATAACCATCCGTTACTTGCGACAAACGAGCCGCCGTCACCTAATTTTTTATTTAACTGTAATGCTTTTTCACAAAGCAAAGGGCCAGATATCATTTGCCCAGTTGATCGTTTTTGTAAAAATCAACAATACAAAGCGTCTTCTAATTGCCAATTTACTCGCGGACATAGGTTCTTATGTCCGGGACGGGGGGTTTGTTAGCGCCTGATAGTAGATCGTCTTATCTCAAGCGGTGTGAAGCGACGATTAGTGAGATGCGGGAGAGGGAGGCTAGCTGCATTTGTGCGCGCGGTCGGTCACCCCTGTTGGCATCGAGCCGATTCGCCATTTTTGTTTGTGTACTGGTTAGGAACTCGATCAAAAATTTGATCATTTTTTTTGTTTTTATACGTTATTTCAAAAAAAATGTGAAAATGACTATTCGCCATTTTTGTTTGTGTACTGGTTAGGAACTCGATCAAAAATTTGATAATTTCTCCGTTTTTATACGTTATTTCTAATGTTATTTTACATCAAATTAATTGTGGAGATATTTTCTTTAGGAAATATGTATCATTACGACGATTCAAAAACGTTTACATACGAGTATAATAATTTACCTCGAAATTCACTATACGCGATTATCGTTTATTGATTATATGTTGTTTAAAAAGTATTCTTATCAGTTTTTTTTGTGTTAAATGGATGCTAAATATAAAAGAATGCTTCAGTATTGATAGCAATTTATTAACGAAATATCTGTTCAGATGTGTCTAGAAATTATTAATACTTATTTTTATTTATTTATTAAAATAATAAATAAATAAAAATAAGTATACATTCATCTATATTGAGTACTAGTTATTCCCCGCGATCTCGCCCGTGTGGAATATGGATTTCATGGGTTTTAATTTTTTTGCGCGGAACCCTAATTCTTTTTCTAAAACAAAAGTATCTAAGCTATCTGCCAGTGAAAGTCCCGTCAAAATAGATCCAGCTGTTTCGGAGATTATCTGGAACAAACAGACAGACAGACAGACAGACCGACAGACAGACAAAAAATTTAAAAATTGTGTTTTTGTTACTAGTACTTTCATATGCATTTAATAAAAAGCTGTTTTTTTAACATTACAAACAGACACTTCAATTTTATTTATTTGTAGATATAGATATAAGATATTATTCATATTGGTGTCATTTTAAAGGGAATATCATGTACTATTATAATAATAAAATAATTGATAGGACTATGACACCACTAAGGGAAGTGAAATTTTGATATATGTAAATTCATGTATTTATCTTGAATTTGATAGCTCAAAAACACGATAGTATAATTTTGACTCGATCATAATTATTTGCGAAAACACCTCTAAAAAACCACTATAGTTGAAATTACAACGAAATTACTTAATCTATATGCTTCGAAATCACTCAAATATATTCATAACATTAATATTCATAATTTTTACTTGCTCATTATTTTGATTACTCAAATCAATAATTTTTACAAAAATATTATAAAGTTTCTGAGAATTTCTAAGCGCTTTTAATCGTCGCGGGCGCTACGGTATATGCAGGTACATATTTTTGTCTATCAATTTGCGAAGTGTTTGAAGATGAGTCTTCAACGCAATGATATTCTATATACGATCAGTTACATTATTATGCAACAGAAGCATGTCACTTCGTCTCTTGCTGGTCTAATGCATATAAGCTTTTAAAGTCATAACAGTGGGCACAAAAACTCAACACGATCAAGTAAATAAATTATATTTTCGGAGTTATTCATGTCAGCAACAATACGCCACGGTCTATTGTAGAAATTAACAACCCATTGGCAGTCATTGCAGTAAAACCTTATATTAAAATGAGTTTCTTCCCAAGGTCATATTAGGTTATAAGTCACAATATAAGAAAATGAACTTCTATTAAACCTGTCAATATCTACAATTAGAACTTATTTACAATAAATGATAATATAGTCAATCTGTAATGTATCACGGCTGGGGAATCCTAGATATTTTAAGCTATTGCATAGCTTCTATCGCGGGCCTTGAGCGCGGGGACCGAATCCAGAAATTCCGTAATGAAAAAAACCTCACTCCGACGGGCACGGAGGTGTGGCGTTGAAAGCCGTGCATCGTCTAACGTCGTTTCAGTTTGGCAGACTTCGGCACTCGGCAGACTTCGGCACGGTGTTTGTGTGCGTGCGACTAGTCGTATGCGTGTACACTAGCTGCTAACTGAATGATAAAAATTCCTGAATAACCTACATGTATTGTAAGATATTAAAAATATTTTAAACAATATTAACTTCTCATTTATACAATAAGAGAAAAAAAATTGTTTTCTTATCGGTCACCATGCTCAAAAAGTGTTACTTGATTTAATATCAAAGACTTAACTGCATAAATAAAATAAATAATTAATTATAATTGCATAAGTTGATAAAAAATGCTATGCAATAGCTTTACCGCGACAGTCGCCGAGTGCCACACGCCTTTTTTTATATCTAAATCTGGATTCACATTAAGAAACTAGTGGCATGCATGGTGAAACCATTATCACATAACTAGTAACACTACCTTGATTAAAACTACATTTACGGATTTTATCACGTTTTATTTATTTTATTTTTAATACCCGACATTTTGTTTCTTACCATCCGTCAAGTATTGCTCTACAAGATGCAGAAGTGTACAAGCTTGATTGTGATTGTGGTCTCTTATATAAAGGACAAACCAAGAGACCAATTAGAACCCGCATAAAAGAACACATAGCTGACTTGAAGCATCCACGTTCCGAGAAGTTTGCAGTTTGCGATCATATCCTAGATAGCCCCAACCATTACATCAGATTTGATAGATCACAAATCCTCGCGAAAGATGATACGTGAGGCTATTGAAATTAAAAAATATCCTAATTTCAATAGAGAAGGAGGCTGGGTACTACCACTTGCTTGAGACCCTATAATTATTAAATTAAAACTAAATCCAAGCATACCACTGCAAGACTTCGAAACACAGTTAGTTCATTCTGCGTAGATAGGACCAAAGACAATAATTAAAAAGCTGAAGTTTCTCCGGGTTAACTTTGACATCGGGACGTCAGTCATCTCCGTCCCACGTGACCGTGGTTGCTTGAAAGCACTCTAAACGTCGAGTATTAAAAATAAAATAAATAAAACGTGATAAAATCCGTAAAAGTAGTTTTAATCATTGTGTAGTGTTGGCGTAAATATAAGAAATCATTTGTAACAGTACCTGTGAATTTAGTGTCAATAAAATAATGTCTTGAAACCCACACTATCGCTGAGATCACAGGACATGTCAACGTCAAAATTTTATTTTGCAATGCACATTGCAGGATCTCAGAGACACTAATTCTACTAGAATTCATTAATAAAGTATATTTTTATCGGCTCTCTAGCGACGTTTTGCTACTTGAACGTATTTATACCCACACAACGACTAAAACCCACACGTATATATGAAACTATTTACACAACATTAACTTCAACAACAATTTCACGTGCAAAACTCTAATTTCATAACGCATGCATTAATTTCATTTTGGTAAAACTAATGTTACACCACTAATTTCATCGTGTATGTGATGCGAAACTAGTGTCTCGCAAGTGACTGCACCAGTACATTTCATATAAACAAACACGGACACCCGTAACTCATATCGGTTTCGTTTTAAACGGTTGAACTAATTGGAAATTGAATATATATTTAATTTTAATATTATTGGAATATATATTTAATATTATTGGAACTTGGAAATTGAATATATAATTACGGCACGGAAGTGCTTTAATTTTGTGAAATTAATGCATGCGTTATAAAATTAGAGTTTTGCACGTGAAACTGTTGTTGAAATTAATGTTGTGTAAACAGTTTTATGCCACTAGTTTCGTAACGTACATCCGGCTCAAAAGAACATACCAAAAAACATGTAATATTCATTTGTAAAATATATAATAAATCTCACACTTTCAGTACAAAAAACACATATAATACGTAGTGATGGGGTATTTATACAAAATAATATTCTACTTAGTCCTTACTATTTAATTTTCATATGCAAATATTTTCATGTTAGAATATTATGATTCATAACATAAGAATCATAATACTTTAACACTAATTATTCTTGCGTCACCCCTAACAGTTTGTTTAGTTATTTCTTTACGAGTAAGTGTAATTAAAATGTCATCATAAAATAACATAATTTACACATATATTTGTGTTATAAATAACAAAGTTGAAGTTGGAATTCTAACATTGTTGCCTATTGACAGTTTCTTAAATGTTTACTTCAAAAATGTTGTGGCTAAATTCTCTTGTAGCAGTTTTAATGTTAATTACAACAGCAGAGGCCTGCAGTTTTAAATTCATTAAAATTCTGTCAGACTTTTCTAATGAACAAGACGTTAAATTTTTTAGATCAACGCTACCATGGATTGTGGAAAATATTGGCTCAAAATTAAGGATCAGTTATCACTTCAGGAATCAAGTTAATAATACTGGAATCAAAGAATGCATTTTGATGCAAATGAAAGGGAACACTTACTTACAAGCTACTTTTCTTAGCTTAGAAGCTCAAGAAGTACCAACAAATAAAGCTATTTCAAATTTACCAATAAACGACAGAAAAATGGCATACTGCTTAAAACGAAGAATTAAGTATATAATGAAAACAGCCACTAGAGAATTCAAAAATGTAAAATACGAAAATACGCCTATCATTATTTTACCCGGAAAAAGAAAAATTTCCCAGGTATCGCCAGAAACCATTTTAAAAGAAATTTGTGCCTTGTTTGGCAAACGTCAATCAGAAAGATGCATAAATCCAACTCCTTATCCAAAACAAAGCAAACCAATAGATATAAGTCCTAAAACCGAAAAACCAACTGAATTACTACCGCAAAATACAACCCACATAAATGATAAAACTCCTTCTACAGTAACAACAGAAATAAATATAAAAGGGACAGTTACAGAAAATGAAGCATCCACATCACCACAAGAAGGTGTAGTAGTAAGTAACATCTCAACATTACCTACAACGAATAAAGATTCATCAACAACGCCTATTGAAACAGACACTAATATGTCTTCGCAAAATGGTAATATTTCTTCTGAAAAAATGACGGAAAAGTATGGGAAAGTATCAGAATCTACATCATCAAAAGAAGCTGACACAACAACACTCCCTACAACAAAGGGAGATATGGAGACGTTTTCTACCGAATGAACTGCTAACTTATGATTGGATTTTTGAAAATAAAATTCTTATCACTAATCGAAAGATCATACATATGTATTGTTACAAAAGTATTGAATATTTATTTTTTCGTTGTAATTAAAAAGTTTCAGCAAATTTTAAATAATGTTTTGTACTCCAACCGATGACGCGCCTCCAGTTCCCGAGAAAGACCGACACAGTCACAAGACTCATGTGCTTATGTAACGTCGCAGTGTTTATTTTGCTTCTACTGTACAGGCAGCTGCTGCGTATAATATAATCATCGGTTTTTTAGTTAATTTATTTAAATTGTCTAACTGAAGGATTTATCATGCTTGTTTCGTTCCGTTATGTAGATTTTTTTGTTTATAAAAAATAATATAAATGTAATATTATAATATAATTATATATGTATAAGTATTAATCATTTATATTAAATATGAGTATATTAAATAAACGTTGCGTCAAATACCAATTTTTAATATAACTTGAAATTTTATATATATAACAGAGAAATCGCGATAAGTCAAAAGTTTAAATAATAATTTTTTGAAGATTTAATAATATATTTGTATATTTCAAATAAATTATTTTTTTATTATTAAATTAAACATTTATAACAAGCTAAGTTCAATATAACCTATCGGTTTACCACCATAACTTTCACGTGATACACTAAAAATTATTAAATTATGTTTTATAAAAATATTTAATTTTTACTTACATTACACTTTACATTATAGTGATAACAATTATATATAAAACTCACAGCGATGCTTTAGCACTTCAGCTGAATTGAATCGAATATCATTTCTTAAAAAATCTGTTACCATAAAATTGTCTACAGCCGGAATATTATCAGAATTAGCTTTGATAAACCCTGTTTCATGCATAACTGCATTTAACTGATAATTTTTAATATTTTTTCTGCACTAAATTTTAATAGATTCATCAATATATATACAGATCAGAGCTGTTGATAATGTTTTAACATAATGACGTCAACAATATGGCAGCCACTTATGGCGTGTTTTGTAGTCACGTGATAATTTTTTTGAATTTCTGAAACAATTTCGTTTATTAATATAAATAGTGACTAATTATTTAATTACAATAAACAAATTTACAAATAATTTTCATACACAAATCTAATTGGTGTATGGTGTGTAAGTGTAAGAATAAATAATTCTGTTAGATTTTATATTTTATATTGTTATTTATTTATAAGAGTTAAAACTATTTTAATTATTGCTCTACATATTTCAACCTGCAAAAAATAAACTGTTCTATTTTTAAATAAGTATTTCTAGATTTTTTTTTGAAATATATAAACCTGATTATATTTTATATTTTGTTTAATATTGCACTAATTTCCATACGCAATTTGATGTTATGGTGCACCTTTCCCTCATTGTTAGTGTTGACTTTTATAGGATACAAAAGAAAAACTAACAATATATTATGTGCAAGAGGAAACTTTTATTTGTTTTTATGAAAACATTGCGTCGGAACAGATTTCATCCAGTCACAACCAGAAAATATCAACTGGCACAATCAGCTCTGAACGTGCATTTTTAAATTCTGATTTACCACGTGTTTCTTATCACTACTTTATAGGTGTATCGTAAAAAGATCAACAAAATGGAAAAACAACAATAAAATTTTCTGATCAAAATGTTGTGTGAACAAGCGGTGTTGAAACAGCATATTGACCACCCCTCTGTATAGAAAAAAATTGTCTGAATATAAAAGTGAGTGATCTACGATAGAACAATTAAGTTTGAAAATTTTTAGTGTATTTGAAGGAAATTACACCTAAAATACTACAAAATGTTTATACGCTTCATATTCAGCCATACCCATTTCATTATTATCACATATTTGTTGCTGTGTAGTGATAGCGTGGGAGAATTCACTGCCAAAATATAATCTCGTGGGTATCGTATGAGGCGAGAGAGAAAAACTAAAACATAGGATGGCCAGCAGCATTTTCCTAATTACAGCTCAAAAAATAAAAAACGGTGGTTGCTGACCCTCCTGCTAAGTGTAGCAACCATAGGATACTATAATATGTCACTAACATGTCAATTTACACGTATAAATGTCAACACGAGATGTGTTTTGACGTAACAATCGTTTCCAAATTTCGCATGCAAATTATTTAGAAAGTACCAAATTGCACACGATTTTTAACGATGATTTTGGACATTAATCAAAAGTTTAAAATGTGTAAATTTACTCAATCTGTAAACATGGCGAATCGGGTTTATAGTGGTGATAATACGACGTAATTGCTTGTATGTGTGCTCCCGGCGACGCCGATTCTCGTACAAAATAAGGTTTAGAGTCATTCTATTGTGTATTATAGTGTTCAATGGTAGCAACTATGGCAAATATTCTCCTTATGAGGTAATCTATTTGGAAAACCTATATTCAGCAACGGGCTTACAATAGTCAAGAATAAATGACAGAATAACGTGAATGTTAATTCTTGTTTGCAGTGTATAATTTTAAAGCGTAGTCAAACTTTCCTCAGTGCTGAAATTTCAAACCACAAATTTGAATTATACGAGCATACCTGTAAACACATTTTCGTCCCTAATTATCTCTTAGCACCAACATACCTTAATTAGAAACATTATATTTTATACTATCGTTACTCGAACATGGGTTTAACATTTGAATTAAAGTACTTGTGTCCTGTATTTTATTTTAACTTATATTCTTTGAGTATCATACATCTTAACATTTATTAATTATATAATATTTCTTAGAAATTATTTTTCATTTTTCATTGCACTGTACAATGTCTTTCAATTTTAATATAAGACGATAATATAGAGTTTATCAAGTGGTAGAGCTCCTGTTCTGCCCTAGTGTATATCCGGGTTTTTTTCACCATCCTGTGTTTTTGCTGTCAGCAGCCGTATACTCACTATGTTCAGGTTTCAAGGGTAAGGAAAACAGTATTATTACCGGTCAGTTAGTTCTTAAGGGTAACGACTTATCTTTAACATTATTTGTGTAAAACTAATTTCGGGAACCGATGTGTTGCAGTAGCTATTCACAATTAGGTGCAATGTTAATTAGGTTGTCACTATAATAATACAAAACGCATATAGAAATTACAGCTTAAAAATCTTTATTTACTCATTAAGACTAATGTCACTTACATACTATCTTCAGGATAAGTCATTTGTCGTAAAGATCAGGAACACTCTCAGTATGAAAATTAAAACTTCTGAAGGAACTGCACAAGGCTCGGTACTTGGACCACTCCACTATATCACGTACGTAAACGATGTAGTGAATATTGTCAAAAACTGTGAAATATACCAATTCGCTGATGACACGTATCTTGTAGCCGCAGATAGGGATATTAATCTTGCTCTTAAAAACTAGAAAGTGACTTTACGCAATTGACAAAATGGTCGCACGATGCAGGCCTTGTTCTTAATGCGGACAAAACGAAACTCATGTACGTAAGCTCAAGTCAAAATAGAAAACCCCATAGCCTCAAACTAATCGCGCATAACCATAACTGTCTTTATAACGATGTGACCAACTGCTCTTGTGCTCCTGTGGAGATTGTCAACAAACAAAAGTACCTAGGGTTAGTAATCGATAATCGCCTTAAATGGACAGAACATATAAACCATGTTTGTGATAAAGTACGTGCAATGCTGGCTAAATTCAGACTTATTAAGAATAAAATTCCCTTTCCCACGCTCTTACTTTTATACAGGGCCTTGGTGGAGACCACTATACATTATGGTCTTAGTAGTTATGGCAGAACTAGCAAATCACATCTTGATCAAATATATAATCTCCAAGTCAGTTTTAAAAACCATCGTACCAACGAATATAAAAAAAAATATAAAAATAATTACCACCAACTTTTTATCACTGTTACACCATACCTATATACGACAAAGTGAAATATATACTGCTCTACGATCATTTCTTTACTGACAGTTTTAAAACATTTGCCTACCGCAGAAGTAAAACAAGAAGTGCCTCTAATGTAATTCTTAATTTACCTAGCTATAAAAATGTATACGGAAAATCAATATTACAATATCTAAAGCCAAAACTGATAAACGAGTTACCTAAAACAGTTAAAGGCCAAATTACTTTTACTTTTACCAATTAATTAAGTAAACATCAAAAATAAACTTAAGCAGCACTACTTATCTTTACCATTACTAGCGTAAAATATTAAAAAAAATTGTACAAAAAATGTCACCCGTGTGAATCTACAAACCCAAACGAGTTACTCTGGCTTTTGAGTTAGAGGTGCATAATATGTGTTATGCATGTTGATCGGTCAAATAGCGTGCGCAGTAATCACATCGGGCTATTAATGTGTAAATAGGTAGTTAAGAATGAATATTACTTAGTTCTGTTCTGTTCGAGCGACAGATGTCGAATCGCAGTGTGCGGTAAAACCAATTTTGGTTTATGTCACACTGTCACTAAATGTATTTAGATTAAGTTTCACATGTAAATTATTTAAATAAATAAAATAAATGAGTACCTTCATTAAATTTAAATATATTTATAAGCTATCTTTAAATTCAGGGAACATTGTGACTATATGTATGGGCAGTTATTACCTTCTGTTTTCCTATCTAATAAATACTACTAACCAGGAAAAGAATAAAATATTAATAAGAATATTTTCTGTGCCCGAATTATTTTGGTTAAGGTTCAAGTAAATCTAATTACTATCGCTCGCAATAGATATATTTTACTAAGCAAACATACAGTATTTCTTATCATAGTTAAAAAAAAAAAACTAATTTAAAAACAATTACTATCATCAGTCATTTACGCCGCGGTGTGGTGCGAAGGACGCTGGCTGCGTTTCCTCGCTAAATCGCTATACTAAGCATTTAAGCCAGAATTATCGGTGAGAACATTCTCGCTGGGACAGAGTTTCTCTATATCTTCCTTGTGTCCGCAGCAGAGCACAGGTCTACTTTATTATTTAGAAAGGCGGGCAATGT